GTACAGAGTAGAAAAATAGACATCGGAGACTCCATATATTGCAAGGGTGGGAGAGGGGTAGGGACTGAAAAATTACATAGTGGCTACAATGTTCCTGTCTCTTATACACATCTAGATGTGTATAAGAGACAGAACAAGAACAAACCAAACCCAAAGCTAGCAGAAAAAGAGAAATAACAAAGCTCAGAGAAGAAATAAATAAAATTGAGTCAAAAAATTTTAAAAATCAACAAAACGAAAAATTGGGTCTTTGAAAAAATTAATGAAATTGGTGGACCACTAGCTAAATTAAGAAAAATGAGAAAGGATTCAAATACGCACGATAACACATGATAAAGGTGGCATTACAAGTGATACCATAGTAATACAAAAGATCATCAGAGACCACTATGAGCATCTCCACACACGAACTAGAAAACATATAGAAAATGGATAAATTCCTGGAAATGCATAGCCTCTCAAGACTGAAACAGGAAAAAAACAGAAATTCTGAACAGACCAATATGAGTAGTGAAGTTGTATCAGTAATAAATATTTTCCCAAGAACAACAGCAACAAAAAAAGCCAAGATCAGACAGATTCACAGCAAATTCTACCAGTCATAAAAAGAAAAATTGATACTAATATACTGAAACTATTTCAAAAAAATCAAGGAGGAAATACTACCTACTCATTCTAAGAAGCCAGTGTAACACTGATACCAAAGCTAGGCAAGGACACAATAAAGTTTAGAGGTCAATACCATTAACAAACATAGATACAAAAGTTCTCAAAACAAATACTAGCAAATTGAATCCAACAACACATCAGAAAGATACTACTCCATAATCAAGTGGGTCTTATCCAGGGGATGGGGGATGTCTCAACATATGCAAACCAATAAATGTGATTCACCACATAAACAGAATTAAAACCAAAACTGTATGATATCTCAGTAGATGCAGAAAAAGCATCTGATGACATTCAGCATCACTCCATGATAAAAACCCTCAACGAACTAGGCACAGAAGAAACATTCACAAAATAATAAAGGTCATAAGACAACAAACCCCAGCCAACATCTTACTGAACTGGGAAATGTCTAAAACATTCCCCCTAACAACTACAAAAAGTCAAGGATGCCTACTTTTACCACTTCTATTCAACATAGTATTGGAATTCCTAGCCAGAACAATCAGGCAAAAGAAAAAAATAAAAGGCATTCAGGCCGGGCGCGGTGACTCAGGTCTGTAATTCCAGCACTTTGGGAGGCTGAGGCGTGTGGATCACGAGGTTAGCAGATCGAGACCATCCTGGCTAACATGGTGAAACTCCCGTCTCTACTAAAAAACAAACAAACAAACAAACAAACAAAAAACAACAACAACAATTAGCCAGGTGTGTTGGCGGACTCCTGTAGTTCCAGCTACTCAGGATGTTGCAGTGAGCCGAGATCATGCCTCTGCACTCCAACCTGGGCGACAGAGCGAGACTCCGATTCAAAAAAAAAAAAAAAAGCATCTCAATTGGCAAAAAAGGAAGTCAAATTATTTCAATTATTTCTGTTTGCTAATGATGTTATCTTATGACTAGAAAACCCTAACAGCTTCTCTGAAGACTCATCAATTGATTGGATAAAGAAAATGCTGTAAGATACGTACCATGGAATACTACTCCACTACGAAAAAGAATGATTTTATGTCTTTTGCAGCAACATGAAAGGAACGAGATGGAGGCCATTATCCTAAGTGAAATCACTCATAAACAGGAAGTCAAATACTGCATGATCTTACTTGTAAGTGGGAGAGCTAAACAACAGGTTTTAACTAAACACATGGACGTACAGAGTAGAAAAATAGACATCGGAGACTCCATATATTGCAAGGGTGGGAGAGGGGTAGGGACTGAAAAATTACATAGTGGCTACAATGTTCCCATTCAGATGGTGGGTACTAAAAGCCCAGACATCATCACTACGCAATACCTCCAGTTAACAAAACTTCACTTGTACCAATTAAATCTATAAAAATAAAAATAATAATAATAAATTTTAACAAAGCAGTGATATGATATGTTTTATCTCATTTAATCCTCACAACAACTCTATACATTTACAATCATCATCGTGTCTCCATAATGAAGAAGAATAACAAAGGAACATAATGATGAAGAATTTGTCCAGAGTCATAAAAGCTAACAGTGGGGACAGGAATTCAATCCTACCATGTGGCTCAAAGCTTAAGCTCTTAACCACAACACACATTACTAATCATTAAATTAATCATTTACAATAAGCTAAAATAGTAATCAGTTACAGATACTCTTCAACTTACAATGTGGCTACTGCCCAATAAACCCATCATAAATTGAAAACATTATAAGTTGAAAACGTATTTAGTACAACTAACCTACTAAGCATCATAGCTTAGCCTAGCTAACCTTAAATGTGCTCAAAACACTTACATTAGCTTACGTTTGGGCAAAATCATCTAACACAAACCTATTTTATAATAAATTGTTGAATATCTTGTGTTTTTCTTTAACCTTCATGATCACATGGCTGACTATGAACTTCCTAGCATCGTATTTTACCACATATCACTAGCCTGGGAAAATATCAGAATTTGAACTTTGAAGTATGGTTCCTACTGAATACATACTGTTTTTACACATCTTAAAGTCAAAAAATGGTAAGTCAAAAATGGTAAGTCAGGAACCATTTGTATTGAAAAACCTTGATAAAATCCACAATAAAATAAAATTCAGCATTTAAAATGAATGCATGGTCTAGTATGTACCAAAATCCAAATGTATATTTTTCAAGTGTGATTAGCTAAAACAGGATGGACTTTTTACTTAATCTGAAGAAAAACAAACACTATCCCTAGCATAGAAACTAGTCCCCTCTTTCCATTCTTGTTTCATGAGCTACATTTTTCTGGAGAAATGATAAAAACATTATCCTAAATCCATATTCTAAGTGTAAAATAAACTTTAAAATGATAATTTTATATAAATACATGGTTATATCATTATATTAATATGTATTTCAAAATATACTCTGCATAATTTTTATTTAATAAAACTTGCTAATTTTAAGTGAATTTCCCCTAAACATTTGGCACTGTTTTTACACTATAATGCAGAAAACTGAAA